CCAGGCTAGTCTCCAACTCCTGGCCTCAAGTTATCTGCCCACCTTGGCCTCCTGAAGTACTGGTATTATAGGCATGAGCCACCACGCCTGGCCTGCACCAATATTTTTAAATTCTGTAATCCATCTTTTCCCTGATTAAGATATACCATTTATCACATGTTAAATTATTATAATTTTGTGGATCTATTTCCTGTATTTCTAGTTTACTCCATTGGTCTCCCCACCTCTTCTAGTACCAGTATCATATGGTTTTTTTCATAAGTGTATATCCGTATGTTTTGCAGTAAGACAGATTCACTTATTACTTTTTTTTTTGTAGTTTTCTAGGCTTGTTTAGCCCAGTAATTTTTAGATAAAACATTGCTTTGAAGCAAACATCTTACCATAATGTTTGCATCCCAAGTTTGAAAAACAATGTCCACATTCACATTTCTCAAATTATTAGCAGTTTGGAACACAAGCATAATTTTTGCTCAGAGGGAATGCCTTAAGATTGTGATGTATTAGGGTCACATAAAAGGAGTTGCATGCAAATAAAGTTGCATATAAATAGTGAAAGATGTTCCTGTGAAAGTAAGTAGGGACCAGATGCTTTTGAGCCATGTTTTAAGGAGTTTGAAATCCATTTCTAGATTAGAGAAAGTCATTGAGGTGTAAAAGCAATGGATGTGATGAGACCCTAGCGTTGTGTTAGGAGTTATTCTATCTATAATGTGGAGAATGGATTGAAGAGGGGAAAGACTGGAGAAGAGTGTGTCTTAGATATGGCCATGACTACGGAGAAAATGGAATAAACGGGAGAAACATTAAGAACAAGAAATGGGAATGTGGCAAGGGAAATGGAGATGTCAGGGTTAACAAACTGTTACCAAGTGTGTAGAACTGAGGTGAAATTTAATTTAGTTAACAATACTCATTATTAATATTGCTATTAATATTATTAATATTCCTCATTATCATAATATTCCTTATTGGTGCTATTATTATACTCATTACTAACATTATTTTAAACATTACTAATTATTACCTTTTTTGGTTAAAGGAATATTTCTCAATCTTTGAGTATGAGGACTTCATTTTAATAAGAAAAAAGGTAGATTGCTCTCTCTTCCATATGATAGATGTATTTTTAGTAGGAGTTGATATATGTAATGTTTTCAAGGGACTTTTAATTTTATTACTTACAATATCATGCATATATATTATTCATGCATATATTTTGTTAGGGCTAAATAAAAATCAAAATGCACAATGGTTAGTGCCGTTAAAAGTAGTGGAACTCTTCCAATAACTTTTCAACATCCTTTGTTCCCCACCTCATCAAGATCTGCAGCCCACAGATTTAGAACAACAGGTTGAAACAATTCTTTATGAAATTGTTTTGAAGATTTTAGCCTTAGATGTACATTTTCCCCACTTCTATTGGAAAATTAATTTCAGAATATAGGGTTCATCTTTTTATTCAAGACACATTTTATTAAATAGGAGGAAAGTGATTAACAAATGTTTTTAACGTGAGAGTTTGTTAAGTATAACAAGTAAAAAATTTAAAACAGTCTAGACAAGTACACATGAGGAACTTTAGTGACTTTATTTTTTTCCTCTTATTTCTGTATTATTATACAAATAATTTTACAACCGTATCACTAGAGGATTGTTTCTTCATTTATTTAACATAGAATTAATTGCACTCTGATCCAAAAGCAAATACAACAAAAACAAAGATAAATAGATGGGGCACAATTAAACTAAAAAGCTTCTGCACAGTGAAAGAAATAAGCAGCAGAGTTAACAGACAACCTATAGAGTGGGGGAGAAATGTTCACAATCTTCTACAAAGAACTCAAATCAGCAAGAACAAAGCAGTCTCATTAGGTCAGATGTGGTGGCTCACACCTGTCATCCCAGCCCTTTGGGAGGCTGAGGTGGGTGTATCACTTGAGATTAGGAGTTCAAGATCAGCCTGGTCAATGTGGTGAAACCCCATCTCTACTAAAAATACAAAAATTAGCTGGATGTGGTGGTGGGTGCCTATAACCCTAACTGCTTGGGAGGCTGAAGTGAGAGAATCACCTGAACCCATGAGGTGGAGGTTGCAATGAGCCAAGATCGTATCTTTGTACTCCAGCCTGGGTGACAGAGAGAGATTCTGTCTCAAAAAAAAAAAAAAAAAAGTAATCAAAAAGTAGGCTAAAGAATAGACAATTCTCAGAAGATATACAAATGGCCAATAAGAATGTTGAAAAATATTCATTACTAATGATTGGGGAAATTAAAATCAAAACAACAATGTCGTATCACCTCACTCCTGTAAGAATGGCCATACAAAAAAAAAAAAAAATAGATGTTCACATGAAAAGGGAACAGTTTTATACTGTTTGTGGGAGTGTAAACTAGTACAACCACTATGGAAAACAGTGTGGCGATTCCTTAAAGAACTAAATCTACCATTTGATCCAGCAATCCAACTACTAGGTATCTAGCCTGAGGAAAAGAAGCCATTGTGCAAAAAAGATACTTGCACATGCATGTTTATAGCAGCATAATTTGCAATTGCAAAAAATGTGAAACCAGCCCAAATGCCCATCAGTCAACAAGTGGATAAAGAAAATATGGTATCTATATACTGTGGAATACTACTCGGCCATAAAAAGGAATGAAATAATGGTATTTGTAGCAACCTGGATGGGAATAGAGACCATTATTCTAAGTGAAGTAACTCAGAATGGAAAACCAAATATCATATATTCTCATTCACACGTGGGAGCTAAGCTATGAGGATGCAAAGGTGTAACAATGATGCATTGGACTTTGGGGACTTGGGGGAAAGGGTGAGGGGTGATGAGGGATAAAAGAGTACACACTGGGTACAGTGTACACTGCTTGGGTGATGGGTGCACCAAAATTTCAGAAATCACCATTAAAATATTTATTCATGTAACCAAATACCACCTGTTCCCTCAAACCTATCGAAATTTAAAAAATTTCACTCTGTATGTATAATGTGAACTATATTGTAAAAACACTTCTTATAGCATAAATTATTTAGCGCTTTTATTGTAATTCATTGAGAGTCAGCAGTTATGACTTTCACTTCTTAAAAATTTAGAAGAATGCCTTGCAGAATTAAATTGTCATTTAGTATCACCCTTTAGAGCAGTCAGTGTCTGTACATTCTGTGACAAAGTAAAAAACCGTTATTCATTAAAATTTAATTACAATTGATTTTTGCTTTTGAAGGCTCTTTATCTGTGAAAATGTCTTTATATCCTGAATTTTCCTAAAATAATGAAATTTTATATTGTTTATTTAAAAATAATCTTTGGCATAAGAGTTAAAATTAATTCCTCTTGGTTTTATTGAATGCATTCTTGTGTTCAGCATTGTTACAGTTGCTATGGAAATAAAAATAAATATAATTAATCTAACAAACTTATAAAAAATACCCATGTATGCTGGGCTGGCACAGTAAAGATAAAAAGAGTTCATTAAGATGAAAAAAGACACAGATAAATAATTACAAGGTAGTTGGAGAAACAGGGAATACATATATATTAGGTATTGAAATGATGTATTATACTGAATGTTATAGACAAAATAAATTTTACTCTTAGTTCATTCATTCAACAGTGGCCTATTTAATTCATACAGTACTTTAGTAAATTCCTTTAACTCAGTATTCTGTATTATATGTTGATTGCCATATAAAGCTACTTAATTCTTTTTCATCCATTATTTATTTAAAGAATATGCTTGTTAACAAAAGTACTGTGTATTTTCATTACACTTTGTTTTTTTTTCTCATGGGACCCTCCAGAGTATATTTGTAATGAGTGGCATAGAGAATTAAACTTATATTGCCTTATATTTATATTCTTAAAAGTTGATACATCAATAACTGATAGAAATAAATTTTACCTAGAGGATTTTATGCTTTTATTCACTTTATTTCCAATTTATGTGTAACTCCTAAGCAAGATCATTTTCAAATTCTAACTGCTACATAGATTTTAAAATTTGTCTTTCTTTTAAACATTGAAGAATAAAGTAAGTAGAATACAGCTCAAATTTTAGAACATAGTCTCCATGAGACAGTTTTTTTATGCCATAGAAAACCACTGGCTGATTACCTTCTCAGTCAATATTGCTCTTCGGTGTTGAACTATATGTATTCTTAGAAGTATGAAACATTTTTATTTTAGTACCACTAGCTAAATTTGATTTTTGTGCTTACGATGTAAAGACAAGATTTAAATTAACACCAACAGCAGAGACTCTTAAAAATTTAGAATGTTATACTGTGAATTTAAATAATCTTTCTGTGCTCGTCATTTTACATGGATGGTATCATAAGACAAGTAATGACAGATTAAGACCTACCTAGCAGAGGGAAAACGAAATTACATGACTTTATTAAGGCATAAATAAACCTATTAACCATTATCTGGCATACCAATTAGTAGAAAGAGCACTGACAATTTTATTTATCAACATTAAATACAATTATTAATTACAGACCTGATGAATCTAGCAGTAAGCAGGCCATGTTGGATATACTGGGACCTTAGGTCCATTATATGAGAAGGACAATTACCAAAATCCTGTGTGGAAATAAGTAATTGTACTTGTAAAATTTTAATTGCCTTGGAATAAGGCAAATTCTATTTTCTTGTCTGTGAATACAAATAGCATGGCATGAAGGTAACAAGCTTCAGTAGTTGTAAATAGAAAATAGATATATGTTAAGTTTTAAAACAAAGAAAAGAGTGATGAATTTTTAGTGTCATAGTATTCCATGTGAATGGCATATTGTAAATACATGCAGTTTTTTTTTGTTACATCATAGTGAAAATAATCTGGGAAGGAACTTTTTGAATGAATTACTACAGGTGAATGGGAATTAGGTAATTAAAAATATTTTCATTATGTGATCAGCAGTGTTGTGAAATGAACAAGAGACAACTCACATTTTTTGTGTCTTTTTTTCTTTTTCTATGAAGATCCAAATTCCAGAATTTGTGGACATTTACTCATAGGTGCAGCCAAGAATTCTTTTGCAAAACTCATGGAAAAAATTAGTCTGGTAATGGAATGTATACCTCTGCACAGTAGCAGGAGTATTACATATGTAGAAAAAGATTCTCTGGTTCAGAGGCTGGCCCATGGACTTCATAAAGTAAACACCCTGGCCCTAAAATATGGTTTGTGTGGCCATGTGCCCATTATGGTATGTATAAACTTTTATTTAGTAGTAACCTAAGAACTTGTAGGTTTAATTTTGAATCACCCTAATTTGTAGTTTAAATTATTAGTTGTACACGAATGTACCTGGATCTTCTTTAGAATTCATGTAAAATTTGATTAAAGTGAATAAAAATACTTCCAAATAAGTATTCAAAATATCAAAATACAAGTCATGGGCCAGGTGCAATGGCTGATGCCTGTAATCCCAGCACTTTGGGAGACTGAGGCAGGTGGATCACCTGAGGTCAGGAGTTTGAGACCAGCCTGGCCAACATGGTGAAACCCTGTCTCTACCAAAAATACAAAAATTAGCCAGGTGTGGTGGTAGGTGCCTCTAATCCCAGCTACTCAGGAGGCTGAGGCATGAGAATCGCTTGAACTCGGGAGCTGGAGGTTGCAATGAAACAAGATTGTGCCACTTCACTCCAGCCTGGTCAACAGAGCAAGGCTCTGTCTCAAAAAAAAAAAAAAAAAAAAAAAAAAATCATTACATTAGTGCTAAGTTTAACGTTCTCTATAAATGCACCGCAACAGAATTGTATGAGACCCAAAGAGCTGTCAGTTTCATGTTTAGCCATAGATTATTTCTTTTCTTTAGGTGTTCATTTTTCATAAGCTAAATCATTGGTAACATAAAAAATAAAGTTTTCACCTCTACGTTTCTGTAATAGCTGATACTGTTTTTTGGATAATCTAAGTTACATTTAATTTAGTAAAAACGGTTATTGCTATTGTTAGTCCATCTGTAGTTACTGTTTGTAAAGTTGCTCTTGTTTAACAACAGAAAGGCACAGCATCATTGCACAAACAAATATTTGGATTTACACAAAGACTGCATGCTGCAGAAGTAGAGCGCCGCTCACTACGCTTAGAGGTCACAGAATTCAAACGAAGTGTGAATGAAATGAAAAAGGAGCTTGACAAAGCCCACGGTCTCCAAATGCAGTTAAATGAATTTAAGCAGTCTGTAAGTATATATCATTTAGAAAACTATTGATTTGGTGATATCTGTTTCTTTATCTCGATATCCTTTTTTTCTTAACTTTTATTATGTTTGATTTTTCAAATCATTCAAAACCCTATTAATAACATTTCTTTTTCTTTAGAAAATTTCCCTCCTAAAATGCCTCCAGTTGCTGATGTAGGCTGGGGTTGAGGGGTTTGCAGGGAGAGAGATTTCCTCTCTTGTTCTTTTTTTTTTTTTTGAGATATAATCTGACTGTATTGTACAGGCTGGAGTGCAGTGGGGTGATCTTGGCTCACTGCAACCCTAACCTCCTGGGTTCAAGTGATTCTCCTGCCTCAGCCTCCCAAACATCTGGGATTACAGGCACCTGCCACCATGTCTGGCTATTTTTTTTTTTTTTTTTCAGAGCAATTTTGCTTTTATTTTATTTATTTATTTATTTATTTTTAATTTTTTATTGGATTTTAGGTTTTGGGGTACATGAGCAGAGCATGCAAGACAGTTGCGTAGGAACACACATGGCAGTGTGCTTTTCTTTCCTTCTCCCCTTCACCCACATTTGGCATTTCTCCCCAGGCTATCCCTCCCCACCTCCCCCTCCCACTGGCCCTCCCCTTTTCCTCCCTATAGACCCCAGTGTTTAGTACTCCCCTTTCTGTGTTCATGTGTTCTCATTTTCCGTCACCCGCCTATGAGTGAGAATATGCGGTGTTTCATTTTCTGTTCTTGTGTCAGTTTGCTGAGGATGACGTTCTCCAGATTCATTCATGTCCCTACAATCGACACAAACTCATCATTTCTGATTGCTGCATAATATTCCATGGTGTATATGTGCCACATTTTTCCAATCCAGTCTATTATCAATGGGCATTTGGGTTGATTCCAGGTCTTTGCTATTGTAAACAGTGCTGCAATGAACATTCGTGTACATGTGTCCTAATAGTAGAACGATTTATAGTCTTTTGGATATATACCCAGTAATGGGATTGCTGGGTCAAATGGAATTTCTATATCTAAGGCCTTGAGGAATCGCCACACTGTCTTCCACAATGGTTGAACTAATTTACACTCCCACCAACAGTGTAAAAGTGTTCCTTTTTCTCCACATCCTCTCCAGCATCTGTTGTCTCCAGATTTTTTAATGATCGCCATTCTAACTGGTGTGAGATGGTATCTCAATGTGGTTTTGATTTGCATCTCTCTGATGACCAGTGACGATGAGCATTTTTTCATATGATTGTTGGCCTCATATATGTCTTCTTTCGTAAAGTGTCTGTTCATATCCTTTGCCCACTTTTGAATGGGCTTGTTTGTTTTTTTCCTGTAAATCCGTTTGAATTCTTTGTAAATTCTGGATATCAGCCCTTTGTGAGATGGGTAAACTGCAAAAATTTTTTCCCATTCTGTTGGTTGCCAATCCACTCTAGTGACTGTTTCTTTTGCCATGCAGAAGCTGTGGAGTTTGATTAGGTCCCATTTGTCTATTTTGGCTTTTGTTGCCAATGCTTTGGTGTTTTGTTCATGAAGTCCTTGCCTACTCCTATGTCCTGGATAGTTTTGCCTAGATTTCCTTCTAGGGTTTTTATGGTGCCAGGTCTTATGTTTAAGTCTTTAATCCATCTGGAGTTAATTTTAGTGTAAGGTGCCAGGAAGGGGTCCAGTTTCTGCTTACTGCACATGGCTAGCCAGTTTTCCCAACACCATTTGTTAAACAGGGAATCCTTTCCCCCTTGCTTGTTTTTGTCAGGTTTATCAAAGATTTTATAGTTGTAGATATGTTGTGTTGCCTCCGGTGCCTCTGTTTTGTTCCATTGGTCTATATCTCTGTTTTGGTACCAGTACCATGCTGTTTTGATTACTGTAGCCTTGTAGTATAGTTTGAAATCCGGTAGTGTGATGCCCCCCGCTGTGTTCTTTTTGCTTAGAATTGACTTGGCTATGCGGGCTCTCTTTTGGTTCCATATGAAGTTCATGGTGGTTTTTTCCAGTTCTGTGAAGAAAGTCAATGGTAGCTTGATGGGGATAGCGTTGATTCTGGAAATTACTTTGGGCAGTATAGCCATTTTCACGATATTCATTCTTCCTAACCATGAACATGGAATGTTTCTCCATCTGTTTGTGTCCTCTCTGATTTCGTTGAGCAGTGGTTTGTAGTTCTCCTTGAAGAGGTCGCTTATGTTCCTTGTGAGTTGTATTTCAAGGTATTTTATTCTTTTTGTAGCAATTGTGAATGGCAGTTCGTTCTTGATTTGGCTTTCTTTAAGTCTGTTATTGGTGTATAGGAATGCTTGTGATTTTTGCACCTTGATTTTATATCCTGAGACTTTGCTGAGGTTGCTTATCAGTTTCAGGAGTTTTTGGGCTGAGGCGATGGGGTCTTCTAGGTATACTATCATGTCGTCTGCAAATAGAGACAATTTGGCTTCCACCTTTCCTATTTGAATACGCTTTATTTCTTTTTCTTGCCTGATTGCTCCGGATAGAACTTCCAGAATTATATTGAATAGGAGTGGTGAAAGAGGGCATCCTTGTCTAGTGCCAGATTTCAAACGGAATGCTTCCAGTTTTTTCCCATTCAGTATGATATTGGCTGTTGGTTTGTCACAAATAGCTTTTATTACTTTGAGATACGTTCCATCGATACCAGGTTTATTGAGGGTTTTTAGCATAAAGGGCTGTTGAATTTTATCAAATGCCTTCTCTGCATCAATTGAGATAATCATGTGGTTTTTGTTTTTGGTTCTGTTTATGTGGTGAATTACGTTTATAGACTTGCGTATGTTGAACCAGCCTTGCATCCCCGGGATGAATCCTACTTGATCATGGTGAATAAGTTTTTTGATTTGCTGTTGCATTCGGCTTGCCAATATTTTATTGAAGATTTTTGCATCTATGTTCATCATGGATATTGGTTTGAAGTTTTCTTTTCTTGTTGGGTCTCTGCCAGGTTTTGGTATCAGAATGATGTTGGTCTCGTAAAATGATTTGGGAAGTATTCCCTCCTTTTGGATTGTTTGAAATAGTTTTAGAAGGAATGGTACCAGCTCCTCTTTGTGTGTCTGGTAGAATTCGGCTGTGAACCCGTCTGGACCTGGGCTTTTTTTGTGTGGTAGGCTCTTAATTGCTGCCTCGACTTCTGACCTTGTTATTGGTCTATTGATAGTTTCCGCTTCCTCCTGGTTTAGGCTTGGGAGGACACAGGAGTCCAGGAATTTATCCATTTCTTCCATGTTTACTAGTTTATGTGCATAGAGTTGTTTGTAATATTCTCTGATGATGGTTTGAATTTCTGTGGAATCTGTGGAGATTTCCCCTTTATCATTTTTTATTGCATCTATTTGGTTGTTCTCTCTTTTATTTGTAATCAATCTGGCTAGTGGTCTATTTTTTTAATCTTTTCAAAAAACCAGCTCTTGGATTTATTGATTTTTTGAAGGGTTTTTCGTGTCTCAATCTCTTTCAGCTCAGCTCTGATCTTAGTTATTTCTTGTCTTCCGCTGGGTTTTGAGTTTTTTTGATCTTGCTCCTCTAGCTCTTTCAATTTTGACGATAGGGTGTCAATTTTGGATCTCTCCATTCTCCTCATATGGGCACTTATTGCTATATACTTTCCTCTAGAGACTGCTTTAAATGTGTCCCAGAGGTTCTGGCACATTGTGTCTTCGTTCTCATTGGTTTCGAAGAACTTCTTTATTTCTGCCTTCATTTCGTTGTTTACCCAGTCAACATTCAAGAGCCAGTTGTTGAGTTTCCATGAAGCTGTGCAGGTCTGGGTCGATTTCTGAATTCTGAGTTCTAACTTGATTGCACTATGGTCTGAGAGTCTGTTTGTTATGATTTCAGTTGTTCTGCATTTGTTGAGCAGTGCTTTACTTCCAATTATGTGGTCAATTTTAGAGTAGGTTTGATGTGGTGCTGAGAAGAATGTGTATTCTTGGATTTGGGGTGGAGAGTTCTGTAAATGTCTATCAGGTTTGCTTGCTCCAGGTCTGAGTTCAAGCCCTGGATATCCTTGTTGATTTTCTGTCTGGTTGATCTGTCTAGTATTGACAGTGGAGTGTTAAAGTCTCCCACTATTATTGTGTGGGAGTCTAAGTCTCTTTGTAAGTCATTAAGAACTTGCCTTATGTATCTGGGTGCTCCTGCATTGGGTCCATATATGTTTAGGATCGTTAGCTCTTCTTGTTGTATTGATCCTTTTACCATTATGTAATGTCCTTCTTTGTCTCTTTTGATCTTTGTTGCTTTAAGGTCTGTTTTATCAGAGATGAGAATTGCAACTCCTGCTTTTTTTGCTTTCTATTAGCTTGGTAAATCTTCCTCCATTTCTTTATTTTGAGCCTTTGTGTATCCTTGCATGTGAGATGGGTTTCCTGTATACAGCACACTGATGGGTTTTGGATTTTTATCCAATTTGCCAGTCTGTGTCTTTTGATTGGTGCATTTAGTCCATTTACATTTAGGGTTAATATTGTTATGTGTGAATTTGATACTGCCATTTTGATGCTAAGTGCCTGTTTTGCCTTTTAGTTTTTGTAGATTCTTCATTATGTTGATGCTCTTTAGCATTCAGTGTGATTTTGGAATGGCTGGTACTGGTTGATCCTTTCTATGTGTAGTGCCTCTTTTAGGAGCTCTTGTAAAGCAGGCCTGGTGGTGACAAAATCTCTGAGTACTTGCTTGTTCTCAAAGGATTTTATTTTTCCTTCACTTCTGAAGCTCAGTTTGGCTGGATATGAAATTCTGGGTTGAAAGTTCTTTTCTTTGAGAATGTTGAATATTGGCCCCCACTCTCTTCTGGCTTGTAGTGTTTCTGCCGAGAGATCTGCTGTGAGTCTGATGGGCTTCCCTTTGTGGGTGACCCGACCTTTCTCTCTGGCTGCCCTTTGTATTCTCTCTTATATTTCAACCCTGTTGAATCTGACGATTATGTGCCTTGGGGTTGCTCTTCTTGCGGAATATCTCTGTGGTGTTCTCTGTATTTCCTGCAGTTGAGTGTT